AATTCTATTTCTCCAAGTCTTCCAAAGTATTTTTTATTAAAGGTTGTTCCTTTTTCTTTCTTCATTCGGAATATTTCCATATATTTTATAAATATTGGTCTCATTTTTTCTTTATATTCTTTATTAGTGTTTTTAATAAGTATTTCTATTCGCTCTTTTTCTGTTAATTCTTTTTCTCCAATCTTTATGTCGTATTTGTATTTATTCGTATCATTAAGTTCTTTGATTTTCTTTAGATCTTTATTAATTTCTTTAATTGTTATTATTTCCTCTATTTTAGTTATATTTCCGATATGATCTCCTTTTTGTATTACTTTGGGTTTGTTTGTGTAGTTAATTATTCTGATTGTCCAATCATTTATTAATCCGTTCTGCACGCATATGCCTTCTTTTGCAATATGCAATGGTGTTGTTACGAAATAATTCCCTTTTTTGTCAATGTTAATTGCAGTCCACGTATTCGGTAATAATACTAGGTAATCATTACTTCGTAACAGTTTTCCAGTTCCTAATGTGAGTATTATATGTTTTCTATATTCGTTTGGTATGTATGCTAATTCTTCATGAATCTTTAATTTGATTTCTTTTTTCATTTGTACTGGTTCTGTTTCCAATATATTAATTTCTTTATCCTCATTTCCATATCCATAGTCTGGTGTTTTCCCTTTATAACTGGGTGTTCCGGGTCTACTTATTACTGGTCTTAAGTATGGTGAGTCTGATTCTTGGTTTATTCCTATTTCTATAGGATCTCTGTTATATTCTGTTATTATCGATAGTCCTTCATTTCTGTTATTTTGTTGTTCTTGTTGTAATTTCAGATATTTATTTTTAAGATTGTTTTTATCTTCCTCAATTTTTTGTCTATAATCTTGCATTGTCATTTTCTTTCTTTTTTCGAACGAGTCTTTCCTTGTTCTTTCGAATTTGTTTGTCGGTTGATTTATTTGGGCTATAGCTTGGTTTTTGATTACATTTTTAGCTATGCTTTTGTTACTGTCTTTTTTGAAGTATGATAGAGTTATAAGATCGAGGATATTTCTTATAAATGATGGTGTTGGCGACTTGATTTGTTCTTGTCCTTTTTGTTCTATTTGTTCAGGTTGTTCTTGAATTACATTAGTATCGCTTTTTGATCTTAAGTACCTATCATCTCCTACTTCAAATTCAGTATTTTCCTGGTTTAGTATTATATTTTGTATATCTGGTTCTAATGGTGGTATGCTAGGTATACTATCTGTATCTTTAAATGTTGAGTCATCTTCCCTTTGAAACAATCCTTTGGATATGTTTCTTATGATTTCTTCATCATCTCT